TCTTATAATTAAATATAATAAAAAAAACAACAAAAAATAAATATATAAAAAATAACTACCCATTCAAATTGGGTGGGAGTAGTTTTCAAGTTTGAATTTTTAAATTATTTTAAAATAAAAAGCAAAAAAAAAATTTACCAATAAAAAAAAAAAGAAAAAAGAGAAGAAAAACTACCCATTCAAATTGGAAGTAGTTTCAAGTTGGAGTTTTAAATAATTTTTTATAATAAAAAACAAAATTAAATAAAATAATGAATTACTAATTCAAATTGGGGAGTGGTTTCAAATTGGAGTTTTAAAATAATTAAAATAAAAAAACGAAAAATCTATTTAATATATATATATATATATATTAATATAATATAATATATGTATATTAATAATATATGAGAAGTAAATATATAATATATAATATAATATAAAGAGAGGCAAAGAAATTGTTATAATGACAAGTGTCATAAGTTCTATTAACAATATAATTATACGAAATATTGGATAATTTAATAAATAAAAATACATAACGAAAAAATTATTTGATGACTATATAAGTCCCTTTAATTTAATGGAGATTTTATTTATTAAAATTTAAACAATATCTATTCTGTTTATATAGAATAGGATAATCAAATAATTGTGATAATTTCAAATGTAACATCGAAAAATTAACAAAGTGACAAATATTTTTTTAATATTGACCGCGCATCGCGCGGGTACGACTACTAGTATATTATTAAAAGGAGAGGATAAAGCCTCTCCTTAAAGCCAAGTGGTAGCATAAAAAAAAGGCACATGGCATAATTAGTTACTAATTAGTTTTTTAGTTCATAATTAGTTATTAGTTATTATATTTAAATTTAAATATCTATAAAAACGAAAATAATAAAAAACTACCATATATATATAGATATCTCATAATTAGTTATAATAAAAAATCGAAAATATAAATATATAAAAAATAACTACCCATTCAAATTGGGTGGGAGTAGTTTCAAGTTGGAGTTTTAAAGTTATTTTAAAATTAAAAAAACAAAAAAAAAAAGAAAAGAAAAATAAAATTAACTATAATAAAAAAAATAAAAATAAAAGAAGAAGAAGAAAAATTACCCATTCAAAGGGAAGTAGTTTCAAGTTGGAGTTCGAATTTTAAGATTATTTTAAAATAAAAAATCTATCTATCTATATATTATTAAAAGGAGAGGATAAAGCCTCTCATTAAAGCCAAGTGGAAGCATAAAAAAGCCCCATGCATAATTAGTCACTAATTAATTTTTTAGTTAATAATTAGTTACTAGTTATTATATTTGAATTTAAATATCTATAAAACAAAAATAACAAAATCTATATCTATCTATATCTTCTATATATTATTAAAAGGAGAGGATAAAGCCTCTCCTTAAAGCCAAGTGGCAGCATAAAAAAGGCACATGGCATAATTAGTTACTAATTAGTTTTTTAGTTAATATTTAGTTATTAGTTATTATATCTGAATCTATATATCTATAAAAACGAAAATAATAAAAAATAAAAACTACCATATATATATATATATATATATATATATATTGGCTACTTTATTTTAATTAATAAATATATATATCTCATAATTAGTTATAATAAAAAAATCAAAAATATAAATGTATAAAAAATAACTACCAATTCAAATTGGGTGGGAGTAGTTTCAAGTTGGATTTTTAAAATTATTTTAAAATAAAAAAAACCGAAAAAACAAACATTAACTATAATAAAAAAAACGAAAAAAGAAGAAGAAAAACTACCCATTCAAATCGGGAAGTAATTTCAAGTTGGAGTTGGAGTTTTAAAATTATTTTAAAATTAAAAAACAAAAAGTAAAGAAAAATAAAATTAACTATAATAAAAAAAAAACGAAAAAAGAAGAAGAAAAACTAGCCATTCAAATCGGTGAGTAGTTCAAGTTGGAGTTTTAAAATAAAAATAAAATTAAATATTAAAAAATTACCATTTCAAATTGTGGAATAGTTTCAAGTTGGAGTTTTATAATTGTTTTAAAATAAAAAAAACAAAAAAAAAGCAATTAATAAACTTTTGATTCAAATTGTGGAGTAGTTTCTTTCTAATATTCTATATTCTATATTCCTTCTATATTGTATTATTAAAAGAAGAGGATAAAGCCCTCTCCTTAAGCCAAGTGGTAGCCTAGAAAAAAATCTTATGAAATAATTAGTTAATAACAAAGAAGTTATCTATTAAAAATTAATAAAGAAATTAACTACCTAAATTAACTACTAAAACATGGGGGAGAGTTGGTTTAGGTTAGTTAATTTCTTTATTTTATTTTTTAAAATCATTTTCTTTTTTATTATTTGAAATAAAAAGTATATCTATTCATTAAAATTCAAACAATATTTTGAGAAAACTATAATAAATTTTAAAATAAAAAAATATATTTTCAAGAGTAATAATATATATATATATATATATATATATATATGTGTGTGTGTGTGTGTGTGTGTGTGTGTGTGTGTGTATGTATGTATATATATTCTATTATATTACAAACAAATAGCAGACAAAAATATTAAACAAGTAATATGCTAATAATCTATATATATATTATTAAAAGCCAAAGAAAAAGCCAAACAAGTAGTAGCCTAGAAAAAAACCACATGACATAATTAATTAATAACAAAAAAAATATTTATTGAAAATTAACAAAGAAATTAACTACCTAAATTAAGTACTCAAATATCGGCGAGGGTTGGGTATATCGTATTGACAAATAAAATGATAATTGAAATTTATTAAAGCAATATGGTCTAATAGGATCAAGCAAGCCCGATTATAATTTAATTAATATTTTTCTAATATTGACCGCGCATCGCGCGGGTACGACTACTAGTATTTACTTAAAACACAATAAAAAATCCACAACACAGTAAACAAAATTAAAATTGTTTCAAAGCACTTCGGATCATATCCTTGAGTTCCTTACAAAGAACTAAACAGCTAGGTATGAACCATAAAGGTTAAATCAGAAGGTCCTTCGTTGGAAGCCACAGGCTGAGTGCTGAACACCTTAGAAATCTTCACAAAGAACTAAACAGCTAGGTATCCTTTCTCAGTGGATTGGTGAAAGATCTCATTGTACTTCCCAGAATAGTAAGCAGCTGTTGGAGCAATTGCTTGAGTAACTTTAGGAACAATGGGAATTCAGTTTAGAGAGAGCCAAGCTGATGCTGCATATTGCTCATTGGCTCGTAATTGGTGTAAAGTCCCTTGGCGGCAGGCTCATAATTGGCATAGACTGTTTTTGCAAGTCCTGATGCAGCTCCTATAACACCAACACTTTTGACATTGGCTGCAACAGAGCGAGCAGCTGCAGAAGCCTGCTTGACCATAGGAGGAACACGAATATCAATCTTACGAATAGACTCATCAACCTGCAATCAAATCACATAGCGAGCAATCTGATGAAAGAGGCAGAGCAATTTAATATGTTTTTAATAACTGACAAAGCATATTTAACTACAACAAATATGACTACAAAATTTTATAGTGCCAGTTGGTACCAAATCACATACTATTTTCACAAAAGGTGAAAGCTGTTACATATTTTATTCATCAGCCTAATATTATGATCTCTTCATTCGCCGACCAACATAGAATTAGATACATACAATAGCCACAAGAGTGCTAAAAAAACAGAAGCAATATGCATCCAAATAACCCTGGATTCTACAACAGTTCACCAAATCAGAAGAGCATCCTCACTGTGAAATCCCATAATCAATCCCTATGCAACTAATAAGATATCCCAAACATTTCATGTCTAAACTAACTTTGTGTCTAACAGAAAAATCTCACCACCACAGACACAGTGCATCAACGCCTGAAAACATCCAATTTTCATTTGAAGTATAGGAAGGAGAATATGCTAGTTCAGTTCTATGGAATGTGGAAATAGAAATTTACTTATAAAAGAATTTCTCAAGTAAAGCAGGCAGCAGAAACGGCAAATTACACTCTCGAATATAAAAAAGAACAAGTATCCTAACAGAGATTCTGAAATAAAAATAGGCGATACCATAATTTTTGGTAAGACTGTTTAATTCAGAACTCATTAGTTGGTACCAAAAGATAAATTTTATCAAAAAAGGTATAGTAGATGTGTGCAAATCAAAAACAGTTACTAACATGTATGTAAATTTTTTTATCAGAAGTTATTCAAAATAACTGAAAACTAGTATTTACCAACCAAATTTGTGATTACCAACATTCCAACAAAAATGCGGAGAGCTTGCAGCAGATTCAAGTAGAACAAAGATAGATAAACTTTCTGTAGATGCCAATAGGAGAATTCATAGTGAATAATCGAGAACTAAAGGAAAAATAGAAACATATACCGCTGAAGAGATAATGTTTCCTAAGCGCAGGAGACCCCAGAGTTTTTTCCTAATTTTTCAACCATTGCTATATTGAGTATCAGGGCAAAATAGAAATAAACTGAAATTTTATGGTTTTTGTAAACTCGCATTGACTAGAAGCTCCTCTACATTCCCCTTTCTATAAAATAGTAAAGTAAAGTAAAGTAATATGGCTATGCAGAAAGAGGGCACACAAAATTCATCCTATCAAAGCTGACGTGAAAGCCGCCAAGCAGAAAAAGCAGAAGGAGTGGGGACAAGTAGGACCCTAGAAAGTGAAAAATATTCTGACATGTCAAATTCTCCAACCTACGTGTCCCCCAAAATTAGTACTATGCTCATCTTCCACGACACATCCAATTTAATCATGTGGAATTTGAATATACGCACGTGCTTCTTCCTTACTCTGAAAACATTACCGCGTAATATAAACACGTCCTTTTGACCCACGATTTTTATTATACTCCTACTTCACAGTTCACTCTACAAACATATATATAGAGCCGCAAATGCTAATCCTATTATCACCTTCTACTTCCAAAACCAAAACACAGATCAATAAGCACTATTAAATTTCTTGAAATAGAGAATTAAAATATGGTGAAACCCATAAAATCATCTGATGATATCTCATCATCTTCTTCTTCTTCGTCCTTAAAGTACAAAGGAGTGCGCAAGAGGAAATGGGGAAAATGGGTTTCTGAAGTTAGATTACCTAACAGCAGGGAAAGAATTTGGTTGGGTTCGTATGATACAGCGGAAAAAGCTGCTCGTGCATTTGACGCTGCCCAATTTTGCTTGCGTGGTGAGGCGGCAAAACTCAATTTCCCGGCTAATCCGCCGGATATTTTGAACGGGAGGTCTATGAGCGCCGCCGAAATTCAGGTGGCAGCAGCCCGGTTTGCCAACTCGGATCCGGAACCCCAGGAAAGCATTTCGGGTCCGACGGATAATTCCGATCTTTCTTTTTCTTCTTCTTTATCGTCGTCTTCTGAATTGCTACACCCAGAGTCGCCATCTACGTCGATTTCGGATGGGATGGTCCAACCGGATGGTGAATTGACCGAAATGCCTCTTGATTCTGAATTTTTGGACCTGTTTTTCTCGTTAGGAACTGCCAATAACGAGTACCATTTTGGGTCTTTTTCGGAAATTAGCGATCTCACGGGTGACCATTTTTTACCAGCGTTGAATGACATCGACTCTGGGAAAGAGATCTATGACGGCTGCACTTTAGATGGATCTTTCCTTTGGAACTTTTGAGAGCTTCAAGATTTTTGGGACAAAATCACAATTCTAGAATTTTTTTTGCGGCTAGAATTGGTGGCTCTTTTGTCTTTTTCATATTTAGGACATACTCCTATTTTTCATTCTCTCTCTTTTTTTTTTTTTTTTTTTTTCCTTTTTCAGTTCTTTAGCCATCAAAATTGTATAACCTGTTGACTCCAATGTGGATTCCTTTTTGTGGTACATATATAAAATTATAGTACTAAAGTCATAAGCAACACCAGATTCCTTCTGGAAGAAAACTATCTCAAGGGAATAGGAAAACTTGCCAAATATATTGTAAAGGGATTTATATATATATATATATATATATATATACTATTTGAAATTTTATTATTGTTAATGCCCATGTTTAGCTAATTACCTGGCATAAACAAATTTTGTTTACAAAATATATACAATCCACCTGGAAAGACTCTCAATCCATTATTTGTGGTCTCAATCAAGGGATTTAGTTACACCCTTTCCTTCTTTCTCTCCTCTCTCCCCTCTTCTCTCCAGCAAATCGTGGTTTTTCTTTTGCTTTTGGGGAAACTTCACGTCTTTGGAAGTGCACGTTCGCCCTTCCAAGCACAGGAAACCTTTTATAGATTATTCACCTGAAATTTTTCTTGGTTGCAGACTGACTGCCACAATTGTGAATTAGAAAAGCCAGGGCAAGGGTTGTGGAATCAAAGCTTAATCTAGAGAAAGAAAATGCATATACCTGTATAAAATTGCGACTTCTTTCATTTGGCAAATTCTCTTCAGTGATATTGGAAATATCTTCTTTATCCAAAATCATCTCCATCAGCTCACCGAATAGACCCTTTAACCAATTCATTTTGATAACAGTGTCCTCGGCATGCTCTTTTAGTTTCCTTAACGCGAAATACAGTTCTGGTAGTTTGATGTCCCAAACAAAGAAGTTTTAATCCATAAAAGTGGACAAATAATATACTTTTATCATTATATTATCCAACAAGCGGCTCCACCTTCCTGTAAGTGAAAAGATTTAAATAAGACATCTATCATAACTGTGTTAATACTTCTGTTCTAAATGGCATACCTAGTAAGAAGAAGAGGGCTTTAGATCAGTACAACATGCTGGAGAAGGATTACATCTATAATCACTTTCAAGTGGCAAGGATTTAAGAATTAATTGCTTGCAGAATTGTGAGACAAGTAAATTTCTTTTGTATATATTGTATTTGATTTATACATAATAATTATACAACTTATTTATAACTTATCTACAACTTTCATACATTATTTTTTTCTAGTTAAATATAACTAAAATATCATACAACTTAAATACAATTTTTATACAATATGTCTTTTGTATATTTTGTATCTGATTTATACATAGTAAAAATAAATTTCATACAACTAATTATATATTATACAACTTATCTACAACTTTCATATATTATTTCTACCCAGTTATATACAACTACAATATCATACAACTTAAATACGATTTTTATACAATATTTGTTCAACTTTCATATATATATATATATATATATATATATATATATATATAATTTTTCTACAATTTTACTACAATTTCTGCCGTATAATGTATGTCATGTCTTCTTCTTCGAGTTTCAATCTGAAATTCAGCCAAAATCAAGTCTAATCTTCACCAAAACACCTTCAAAATTGAGATATAAACTCCAAATCATATTCCCAATTGTTTGCAACAACACCCAATCCAAACAAATAATGATTTTTGAAAACCCAAATTCGAATTCAAAGCTTCAAAGCTTTTTAATGGCTGTCAATGGTGGAATTGCTGCTCTCTTTTTCTTTGCTTTATATTACTGGAATTAGGGATTGAGAGATAGAGAGAGAGAATTCCCAATTGTTTGCAACAACACCCAATTCAAACAAGTAATATTTTTTGAAAATCCAAATTCGAATTCAAAGCTTCAAAGCTTTTTAATGGCTGTCAATGGTGGAATTGCTGCTCTCTTTTTCTTTGCTTTACATTACTCAAATTAGGGATTGGGAGATAGAGAGAGACGTAGAGAGAATCCCAATTCTTTGCAACAACACCCAATTCAAACAAATAATATTTTTTGAAAATTCAAATTCGAATTCAAAACTTCAAAGCTTTTTAATGGTTGTTAATGGTGGAATTGCTGCTCTCTTGTGCAAGATATGTGGGGGTGGGGGTGGGGGGTGGGTGGGATGTGGAGAGAGAAACGTGGGGGGAGTGGGATACAGAGAGAGAAACGTGAGGGAGTGAGAGTAATTGTAGGAATTTATTAGTTATCCTTAAATCCTAAAAATGTACATAATTGATAATTTTGTATATAGGAGGTAATTAAAGTAAAACTTGAGTAGAAAGGGTAATAAAGTTCCTAATAGTGTATAGGTATGTAAAAATTCGTATGGTAAATCATGTAGCATTTGCATCTTTAGCTTTGCCATGAAAATGAATTTACATCTTTTATTAACTCTCTATCCTTTAAATCTACCACCTTCTGCTAAAAAAAAATTTTAAGTGAAAATCGTCATGACACAAATATAAGTCGGAAAAAATGAACAAATAGCAACTTTTCAAACCGCTAATCGATATTTAGCCATCATTTCAAAACTATTTAACATTTAGGCGCATTCTAGTGCAGAAATAAAATTTGGATAAAAGCACTCGTATGTAAACTAGCTATAGAAAAACTCCAGTTCAATGTCCTTGATTTTGAAACTTTTACAAGTGAAATTCCGATATATTATATTGAAATTTGAAAATCCCCTACAAGCGATGTGCTAGAATTTTGAACTTTTATAAGTGAAACTTCAACATACATGTTGGAGTTCTTCAGTTTCTATTTGGATATTTTTTAAGAAGACAACATCATGGATTCTTAGAATTTGACCTAAAAATTAACATAGAATCATGTACTTGGCCAGCATCAATATTTAGACATCATTTCAGAATAATTTAACATTTAGGCGCATTTTAATGAAGAAATAAATTTTGAACAAAAATACTACTACATATGTAAACTACAAAAAAGTCCAGCTCAATATGCTTAAGTTCGAAATTTTTACAAGTGAAACTCCAACATATTATGTTGAAATTCGAAAATCCCCTACAAATGAAACTCTAATACTGTGCTGGAATTTTGAACTTTTATAAGTGAAAATTTAACGTACATGTCGTACTTCTACAATTTCCATTTGGATATTGTATACGGTTAAAATAGGACTTGCCTGATTTTGCCATTTAATCGAAGACCAGGGAATCATGTCGAGGGTCAGTCTCGTAATGGATCAGGTCAGAGCACGAAGATAAAGTATCAAGCTCGAGAATCGAGATGCTCATCGAGATCGAGGCCAACAGCGATCGAGACCATATATGACAGACTTCGAACGAAGCGCAATAACTAAAAGACAAGATATCCATAACCGGTCGAAGATCATGGCGGAAATCTCGAAACATATCAGATCTAGGGCGGTTGTTTAGGCTAATGATGGATTTACATCTATTATTAGAGTTATACCATAATTAGGACTCCTTTACTATATAAAGAGGAGTCCCCATCATTTGTAGACAGCTTACATTCATGAATATCAAAGCAATATAACATTTCCTAGCTTACATTCTTGTTCATCAGCTTGTTATATCTATTACTATTCTAGCATTAATTTGTTCGAGGGCATACGAGCTCGATAGCTTAATTACGTTGCTAAGCCGATTTGCTTTATTTTATTGTCAATTCTCATTGTTCATCTTTATATTTATCCATTAGTATTAGGTGAAATTATGTATCCCTAAAACCACATTATAAGTTTAATTGTTATCCAATTTTAGGGTAAAGAGTTTGGCCCCACCGTGGGGCTAAGGATAATAGTGATTGCTTAGTATTAATCCTCATAACACACACTGCTTTTACACCTGTTCTCGTAAGTGTCTTTGATTTCAGGAATCAACATGTCAAACTCTCAAGCAATGCCCACTTACACAGACACGGGCCTTAGTTTTCATGGCGAGAACGAGCACATAGTCGCCTCAGAGAACGGACTACCTCCATTCAATCCCGATAGACCACAGGCCGTAGATTCAATCGATGTCAATTCTCGTGTTGTGATTCATGGAAATTTAGGCGCCGATCCTAAAAATAGCGTCCGTAGAGACGCCCCGGCAGCCGATGAGAACGCACAGAGTGGTAAAGAAGGCGAGATTAGCCTTCGAATGATATTTGAAATGTTGCAGACTCAGCAAGATGCGCTAGCGCAGCTCCAAAATCATAATCGAGCGCCAAGCAGAATCGAACTCGATGCATCACAGGAAGCTATTCACAGGGTCAAGCCTATACCTTTAAAATCAAACGATAACGGATCGGGAATTGACCCCGCCATCATGAAAATGCTCGAGGAGCTAACTAAACGGATCGAATCAAGAGAAAAAAAATTGAGGCTAACAATAAAAAGGTAGAAACATACACCTCAGGGGTTGATCAAATACCGGGGGAACCCCCGATTTTAAAGGGTTTGGATTCGAAGAAGTTTGTGCAGAAGCCTTTCCCACTGATTGCAGCTCCGAAGCCCATTCCGAAGAAATTCCGCATGCCAGAAATTCCCAAGTACAATGGAACCACTGATCCTAATGAGCATGTCACTTCTTATACTTGTGCAATAAAAGGAAATGACTTAGAAGATGATGAAATTGAATCTGTTCTTGAAAAAAATTGGAGAAACTTTATCGAAGGGGCAATGATATGTACCACAATTTGCCGCCCAATTCCATCGATTCCTTCGCCATGCTTGCTGATTCATTTGTAAAGGCACACGCCAGAGCAATAAAGGTCGCGACTAGGAAATCAGACCTCTTCAAAGTGAGACAAAAGGACAACGAAATGCTAAGGGAATTCATATCTCGGATCCAAATGGAACGCATGGACCTGCCTTCGGTTACAGATGATTGGGCTGTTCAAGCCTTCATCCAAGGTTTGAACAAGCGAGGTTCAATAGCATCACGACAACTT